CTCGTAGATACGGGATCGCAGATTTCGTTGATTACAAAAGACGTTTACGACAAACTGACGAACGGAAAGACTTCGATGCGAATAATTCCGATAAAACAATTCTCACTCGTAGGAGCTTTTTCGGACCGCGCGCAATTAATCGCGAACCGAATTCAAACAAGTTTCCTGATTAATGGGAGGGAATTTTCGCACGAGTTTTACATCGTGAAGAATCTATCGTACGAGATGATACTCGGCACGGATTTTTTGTCGGAACGTAACGCTGCGATAAACTGCGGTAGGAAATTTATAATAGATTTTCCGGAATGTAGTTCGGGTAGTAAAAAGATTACTCTTAACGCGATTTCAATTCAAGACGCGGAGAGACAGTTGGGAAAAATACTAACAAAGCATGGCGAGCTTTTCAAAAACGAAATAGGATGCGTGAAGCATTACGCGCATAAGATAACGGTGAATACGGAAAAACCGTTTAAAGCTAAAACGTATCCCGTGCCAGAAATACACCGAATTAAAGTCAAAGAGCATTTGCAAACACTCGAAAGGGACGGAATAATAGAACGCGCTAATACGCAATACGTCAATCCGATAGTGGTCGTGATTAAAAAGACGGGACAAATTAGATTGTGTCTAGACGCGCGAGAAATAAATAAACGAATGACCAATGACCACGATCAACCTCCAACGATCGACGAAGTGTTCCGTCGGATAGGAGACAAGAAATACTACTCGACGTTGGACGTGGCCATGGCGTTCTGGCAAATTCCGCTAAAAGAAGAAAGCAGAGAGTTTACGGGTTTTAAGTTCGATAACCACACAAACATACGTGTTTCGTAGACTACCTTTCGGGTTAAAAACTGCGGGAGCATCGTTCACACGAGCGATGCAGAAAGTGATCGGGGACGAGTGTGATCCATTTACGATCGTTTACTTAGACGATATTCTAATTGCGTCGAATAGCTTAGAAGAACATCTATTCCATATAAGCTATGTTCTCGGTAAATTAAGAAAGGTCGGTTTCCGATTGAATAAAGAAAAGTGCGAATTTTTGAAAACCGAAATTCGTTTTTTGGGTCATACATTCGACCAGATTAAAGCGGATATGAACGATGACACGAAACTCGCGATTCAGAATTTCGAAAGGCCGAGGAACAAGAAAGCGATACAAGCTTTTCTCGGGCTCGTGAATTGGGATCGTCGATTTATAAAGGGTTTAGCGAGAATGACGAAACCTTTGGAAGGTTTGTTGAAAAAGAATGTAAAATTCGCATGGAACGACGAATTGCAAGATTCGTTTGAGGAAATAAAGAGAGCATTCAACGAAGCGCAATGCTTATTTATTATCAGACCGGCACTAAAGTTCGGTTTATACGTAGACGCGTCGAAATATGGTTTGGGGGCGCGTTTATATCAATACGACGAAAACGAACCCGAAATAAATTACACGGTAGCTTACGCGAGCCGTAGCCTGAAAGATGCGGAATTAAATTACACCGTGATGGAAATCGAATGTCTAGCGATAGTCTGGGCATTACGCAAGTGGCACACCACGCTTTTAGGACGTCAAATTAAAATTCATACCGATCATAAAGCGTTAAAATTCATAACGGCCTGCGCGGATGATAGCGCGAGGATCGCCAGATGGATGGCATTCCTAAATAAGTTTGAATTAGAGATTTGCCATGTGCCAGGGGCACAAAATAAAATTGCAGACACGTTGTCGCGTAACAACGATAAAAACGGGTACGCGAAGAAGGAAGGTAAAATTAAACATATCGCGGCAATTAAACAGCCGAAAGATGAAATAGAAACCGCATCGTGGGTGGACATGCTCGGAAAAGCGCAGCGCGACGACGAAATTCTACGAGAAATAATCGCGGAAGCGTCGAGCGAATTCTTATCGAGAGAGGGACTTATTCGCGTAGAAACACCGAAAGGAGAGAGAATCGTCGTACCAGAGGCTGTTAAATGGCAACTCGTGAATAGGGTACACGATTATCTACTGCATTTCGGAACGGATAAAGTCACCGAGTTTATGGAAAGATTTTTCGCGGTTCAAAATCTAGAACGCGTAGTAAGGGACGTTGTAGCGTCCTGTAGCGTGTGCCAAGCGACAAAATATTTCACAAGACCGACGCGCGGAACGGAATACTACGTATTGCCGGAAAAACCCGGAGAAGTAATTTCGATCGACTTGTTCGGGTCTTTGCCACAGACACCGCGCGGAAATAAATATATTTGTGTAACAATGGACCAATTTTCTAAATTAACGAAATTGTATCCGTTAAAAAATCAAAAGTTAGAGTCGATAATCGACACATTGCAAACGGAACATTTTGGTAGAGTCGGTATTCCGAGAGAGATACTGTCCGATAACGGGGGACAGTTTATTACCGCGAGATGGCAGGAATTTGCAACGAATATGGGTTTTTCTATTAGGAAGACGTCGCCGTACAACCCTCAGTCCAACCCAGTGGAAAGGGTGATGAGAGAGCTGGGACGCATCATACGGGTCTATGCACACGACCGTCAAACTGGATGGGACCGAATCGTGAAACGAGCTGAAAAAACCATCAACTCGACGTCTCACCGGATTCAGCCCGAACGAGCTTCATCCGGAACAGAACGAACGGCTGTTCGTTGATCCGAGACTGGAACCATTCGTCGAGGAAGGACGAAACGAAGCCGAAATATTAGTCGAAAAAATAAAAACTGCAACGACGATGTTGCAGAGGAGAAAAATTCAAACTGATAAGCATGGTGAAGCAAAGAGGTACCAAGCGGGCGACAAAGTGTGGATTAAACTCCATCGTCGAAGTGACGCAAATCGCAGATTAACGCAAAAGATTCATCTAGTGTATGACGGACCATACAAGATACACAGCGAGGTACGCAGAAACGCTTATGTGGTAGAAGACTTGCGAGGAAACGCTTTGGGAACGTTCAACTCTAGACAGTTGAAACCACACAGAGAGACAACTCTAAACAATCGAGTCGAGGTAAACATGTTAAAAACCTCGAAAAATATTAAAAAGATTGAGATCGGAGAGATCCAAGATTTTATAACTGACATGCAAAAAGGGTCGGAAAATGGAAAGAAACGAGAAAGTGAAGTAATACTTACCGGTGATAATCCAACGCTGGAGAGTCCTGAGGATCCAGAGCCAAGCAAAGCCGGAAATGAAGGAAACCTGAAAAGAAAAAGAAAAAGATCATTAATCAGCGAAAAAGGGAGAAGACACATCTCAAGGTTGATTAATCTGATTTCTAGGGAGAAATCCATACCATCCTTCGCAGGAATAGCTGAAGGTCAGGAAGTGAAAATTCACTTCGACTACAGAGGCGAGTTCAATGTAATTTCAAGTACGTTGGTTGAAAGCATTGATACCAACGTACATAAATTAAACCGCCTCACGGAATCGAAAAATATTCCAGCCTACCTAAAAAGAGAAAAGAAGGTGAGCTTTAAAGCTGTTAAAGTGAATATAGTTATTTTCCAAATAACAGCCAACGTGGAAGCAATGATCTTGGACATGGATAAACCCTGCATACTATTGGGCAAATTCACGTGCCGAGAGTTAGACAGCAGAATCAAGGAAAGGGAGAAGCGAATGGAATCTCCATTAACCAGATGGAGCGAGCATCTATCGATGGAGTCCAGGAAGCGGAAGCTGCGAGAGAAAGAGGCTAAAGCACAACCCACAACCCTAAAAAAGAGGCGACACGAAGAAAGTGTTAGTGCGGTAGTGAATGTCGAGCCCCATATTCAAATAATCGAGCATTTTAAAAACAAAAGTGATAAAGATTCAGAAGTGCGCGAAACGATAACCGTGAAAGATACTAATAGTGCGAACGATATTGCGGAAAACGTTGCGAGAAACGTAGCGATAAAGAAAAAAGAAATTGTAACAAGCGATAGGCAAAGTGCGCGAAAGAGTGCGAAAGATGCCGAGAATGCGAGTGCGATATGCGAGAAAACAAAAGACTTTAATCCAAAAGACAGCAGCACGCCATTAAAACCGAATGGGGATGACATTCGACAAACGGACACTAATAAAAACAATAAGTGCGAAACAATGAAAAACGTGCGAGCGAACTTAGAAAATAAGAAGGATTATATGCGATACTTAAGTTTAAAAACTGTAAATAAAGAAAACCAATTAGAAGATAAGAATACTCGTGCGGAGGAAAATGCTAATTCCTCGAGCAAAACAAACGTAATAAAATCCCGAGAAAAAACTAGAAATAACGAGTTAGCAAATGATAAACGTAAAAATATAAAGGAACGTTTAGAATCGAAAGAAACGAATAATATAAAACCAAATGATTCTTCAAGGGATACAATAATCATACATTCGACAAATAATGAAAGAATAAACGAAAATTTTGACAATTTAGAATCAAACTCAAACATTTTAGAAAATTTGTTTAAGAATTTAAAAGGTTGGATAAATAAAATAAATGATTCGACTAGAGTAAATTTAGATGAGAGTTTTGGGAATTTATTATACAATTTGAACAAATCATATGAGAGTTTCAAACAATTAGCCACTGAAGAATTATCTGACAAATGGAAAGATAACAGCGGAAAACAGGCATTAGAAAGCGAAAAAGACATTACGAATAAAGAAAATCCCGAAAAATCTCGAAACTGTAACGGAAATAGCTTTAAAATTAAGACGCGATCTGAATTGAGCGAAAATAATAATGTAAAATTTACTAAATTAAGCCATTTATGTAACAAAAACAAATTTTGTGATAGAATTAAGGATATATGTAAGAAAAGAAAAAATTATAAGAATAGCGACAAGAAACTTAACAGATTAAATAACAAATATGTCGAAATTAAAGAAAATAAGTTAGATATAAGAAAATTACTAACGACTCAGGAAGATTTAGGAACAGCCAATCAGCTGGCTGGACAAGTTACTAGAGAGCGCGCGGACATAAGGAGTGACCCTAAGACCACGATCCAAGATGGCCGACACAGTCGAGTGATCGAACTTGCAGAGACAGAACGTAATAAAGCGAATTGGATAGTACGAGAAGAGATGGAGACGGAAAACGAAAAAAAGCAGAGAATCGAAGCGGAGGACAAGTTGGTATACGACTATTTAACGGATATCACTCTCGAAGCGGTACAAAAAGAACGAAGCGACAGGTTAGCCATGCTCACGAGGTTATGCGAGAGGCAGGCAAAGGAGACGAGGCCAACGAGAAAGGAAGCCGAAGAGCTTCTCAGAAAAGAAAAGCAACGAACAGCAGACATAACTCAAGCCATCCTAGTCAAGTTGCAAAGCGAGAAAATGAATCGTACATTTTATGACAAAATCATTCTACCCGATGAAGCGGGTAATCCCGAGTATGAGGTTACCTCGATAATATCGGTTAAAAAGATAAAGGAGGAAATAACGACGTCAAAGATAATTAAAATCAACTTCACGATCGATGGAAACGAGATAACGAGATCAGTGAGGTACGGCGAGAAAAAGGACAGCGACACGTCAGACAACGAATCGGGGGAACACTCGATACACCCCGCGCAAGACGAAGACAAGGAGAACCAAGATGTCAACGTCCCAATAGAAGGTGACAAACCAAAAGTTATCGAAGATATCCAAATCAAACCTCCGGATAAAGAATCTTCCGAAATAGAAAACCAGGACATACAGGTGGTAAAAGTACTAAAAGCGATTAACCTACGCCACGCGTAGAGAGTTAGGCGTTTGAGTAGTAGTAGTATGGAGAGTTTATATGCAATTGTTTAACGTTAATAAGGCATTAAAAGTGTTCGTTTCGAAGTCGAAGCAGTGATAATTTTTTTATATATCCCGGACCCGAGTAGGAGCCCTGTTAGATTGTTTCAGGTACTTCCGGGCTTGGTATCCATTAAGGGATTAATAATCTACCACGAGGTGATTGTGCCGGCAGAGGTAATCATTACCAAGGAGTCAAGGATATTCCTGATTACCCAGATTGAGTAGCACCCGTTCGGAATTCTAATACCTTGCTGCTAGAAGAGGTAAAAGCAGCTGGCGACCGTTTCAAGGACCTATTATTGCAACACAGGTTACGTAAGTTTTTACCAGGCGTGTCCGATTACAACCTAACCTAACCTTTTTTTTAAATGGAGAAATCTTCATAGATACCCCCGGCTCCCTCCAGAGCCGGAGGTTATGCCGGATTCTTACCGGCTAAAACCCCATGGTGATCATTCTAAGCGGTTGGATGGGCGCCCGGGCAAAATGTTTGTCACATCTCCTCACCGGTCGTCCACCCCCGCTTTGCCCGAAACTTAATTCCGGCCCTATCCCGGAGGGTGGGAGGTCTGAAGAACCCCCCAAAACCATCCCAAGTGGGGTCTGAAGGACCCCTCAAAAAATACCTAGGGGGCTAGACGGGATCACGTCCGCCTTTCCCCCTCCAGCTCGGGGAGTCCGCGTGCAATGGCCTCCATGGACCCCCGTCCACTTCAGCCTGCGGACCCCCGGCGGTTAAAACCCCCGGTGGTCTAAACCGCCACCTTCCCGGCAGGGAGTGGCAGGAGCAAATGGAAAACCACTCGCCCCCACCATCCCCGCTCACACTTGCCCGGGCTGGTGTATCCCCCAGTTCCCACCTTGTCAGGCGGGCCCGGCTCTTGCGCCCCCGACATGGTGGGTGGTGCCTTCTTCACACGCCGCCGAGGCGGCGGAGGTGTGCACCCATCTTCCCCCAGGATATGCCCGGCCGGTTCCCCCGGTAAACCTTGAAGCCAGGGGAAAAACCCACCAGCCCAGCAGCCCCGAAACCCAGCGAGACCAGCAAATCCGCCGAGAAGACACCGGGAGAAAATAAGATCCCGAGGTTCCGTTTCGTCTTCAAGGACAAAGGGGACGGAAAATCTAAAACTCGTGTTTTAGAAATGATTGACAGCTCAGACGAATCCGAGCATGACGCCGGAGGAGCTGAAATCAAGAAAAGTTAGTTGTAAGTACACACACTGTATAAAAAACACACTTAGAATAAGCTACACTGAACTACACTTTTTGTACAATACACACAACTACACTTTTACACTTTTATGTACTAATTTTATTTTGTTAGCTGCACTTTGCGAGCAGCACTTCGGCCCTTTATGCCGAACTTATCATTTTGCGGCGAGATTTGCCTAGTCGATTATTTAATTAATATTGATAATTATTTTATGTTTTGCGTTGACCGTTGAAATAGAATAAAGCGGTTAAATATATTTTTATGTATTATTTTAATTTTAAACGCGCCAGAGTATAAATACGGCGAAAAGCGGCGTGCGCATGCGTCGAGCCGCCGAGCGGCGCGCAGGAGTGGGACGACCGAGTAGTGGGAGAGCCCGATGGTGGGGAAAAGGTATAAGAGGCGGTGCGGAGCGCCAGTCCAGGCCTTTTTCCGGTAGTTCCAGTTAAGACATAAATCCCGAAAATCGACACTCAGTTAAAATACTGTTTTATTTCAATTATTTAACCACGCGCAAACCAATCTCCGGGAATGTGGAGACGCGCAATTAGAGACCTGAAATTGTAAAACAAATTAACCTTTTTAAATATATTTTATATTTTTATCATAAAAGTAAATTCAGTGTCAATTTATTGAAATACCTTGAGTCTGTGTGATTATATCCTGCATCGAGCCTGAGATTATCCAGAGTAGTCCTTAACCACGAGGCGTTAATTCTTGGAAGTCCAGCGGCGATCTGAAACATGAGAAGAAAATTAGAAATATCTAATTTGGATCCTGCGTCGAGCCTGTGCTTCAAACGGGTAGTCCATTAACCTGTGGGCGTCGATCCTTGAAGTTTCCAGTGGCGACCTGTAACAAAAGGAAGAAATTAGCAGCGGTAGGGGAAATCTGCGAAGTACTTACCTATGCTGATCCAGAGATTTGTAGCGGGTGATCCCGTAGAATCCAGTGACGGCCTGTCTCAGAAGGAAGTCCTTTCCTGCGTCGAGCCTGAGTTTCGAAGAATCCAGAGGCGACCTGAAACAGAAGGAAGATATTAGCGGCAAATTTAGAGATTCGTCCAACCGCTAGGCAACGTGACGACATCAAACGGCGCGACGCGCACAAACCAGTCCGGCGGCCATCTTGAGGAGCCACCCGACGACGCAATATCTTGTTCGTTGGAGGTAAAACAAACTGGCGACCGTTAAACAAGGTAGGAAAACCTGTATTCAGTACGAATTCTCCATCTCGCACATACTCGTCCGGTCACAGTTATACTATCGCAAATATTGGGTAAATTACCATTCGTCTACAAATCTGTAGCGCGATATACGAAGTCCGATGCTCGAGATATTCCGTTAGACATTAAGCATGGTAAATCCCCTTCGATAAGCTCTTTAAGAGTGGGAATCGAATAGTTTTGCGCAAATTGGCGACCGTGACAGAACGCTGCTTAATAAAAAACGTTGCGAGTTGTAAAATAGGAGAAACGCGGATATTTGCATGTTTTACGCATGTGCGTCCGAAAACAATGGTTCTCAATAACGCAGTAACGTAGCAGCGGAGACGAACGGCAGCGCGGTAAAAATAGGTATTCGTGATTTTAAAATATAGCGAAATAGCGGACGAACGCATTGAAAAAGCGGTAAAAGTATCGAAGTTTTATTTTCAAAAGCATGAGATGCTTAGCGAAAGACTCAGAGCAGTTAGGCAGTAAAGAAAAGCCGAACAAACAGAAAGATCCGCGGAAGATTTAATGTTGCAGGATGAGTTGTTGAAAATACTGGAGGAATAGCAATTGTGGGAAAATATAATATATAATTTTTTATATTTTATTAAATGATATTTATTTTATAAATCATTTGTAAAAGGATATACATCTGCCATTTTCTTAGCAAAAATATACTGACAGTGACGCAAATGTAAACAAAAAAACATAAACATGCAAGTAAGATATAGTGAAAAGATCATAGAAATAAATGCGTAAATTATAATACTTCAAATTCGCATATCTCTGAAACCAGAAGAGAGCGCCACAAAATTCAAAGTGCGTGTTACTTAGGAATGTGCCCTCTATAATATATGTAAAAATGAAAATGATCCGTGAGGTGTAAGTTAATCTGAACATTTATCCTTTCAGGTTTTGAGATATTTGCCTGTTAAGAATAAAAGGACTCACCCTGTATAACAGTGTTTATACTGGGATATGGCAACTTTTTATACTCATTTTAGAACTAGAAGAGAGCGCCACAAAATTCAAAGTGCGTATTACTTAGAAATGTGCCCTCTATAATATATGTGAAAATGAAAACGATCCGTGAGATGTAAGTTAATCTGAACATTTACCAAATTAAACAAATATTTTAACCGAAAACAATTGTACAAAATAAGTGTTTTAATTTCTATAAAAATTAAAAAATTTATACAAATAAAAAAAAAATTTAGTTTAAAAAAACTTGGCGCTGCTAAACTAAACAATATGCTAAAATTTATGTATTCTTTAATACATTTACATTGTAGTTATTGATGTAACTAAATTAAATATATTTCTATAAATTAAATTTAGATCTAAATTAAATTTATTATTTGTTGGTTTTAATATATACTTTGAAAATTAGCAACGCCAAGTTTTTTAATTAAATTTTTTTTTAATTTGTTATTATTTTTTAATCTTTGTATAAATTTTTAA